CCTCTGGCAGTATGTCACTCAAGCAGATGTGAACAAGACTAAACGTAAAGCTGTTGTTCCATGGTCAGCCGTCACGGCCCCCCAGTCCACCCAGCTGTTGTTCCATGGTCAGCCGTCAGGGCGCCCCCAGTCCATCCAGCTGTGGTTGTTTCATGATCAGGGCGCCACAGTCTACCCAGCTGTTGTTCCATGCTCAACCGTCAGGGCGCTCCCAGTCCACCCAGCTGTTGTTCCATGGTCAGGGCACCCCAGTCCACCCAGCTGTTGTTCCATGGTCAGAGCGCCCCCAGTCCACCCAGCTGTGGTTGTTCCATGGTCAGGGCGCCCCCAGTCCAACCAGTTGTTGTTCCATGGTCAGCCGTCAGGGCGCCCCCATTCCACCCAGCTGTGAGAGTTTCATGGTCAGGACGCCCACAGTCCACCCAGCTGTGGTTGTTCCATGGTCAGCTGTCAGCGCCTGCTGTGCACCCAACTGTGGTTGTTCCATGGTCAGCCGTCAGGGCGCCCCAGTCCACCCACCTGTTGTTCCATGGTCAGCCGTCAGGGCGCCCAGTCCACCCAGCTGTGTTTTTCCATGGTCAGGGTGCCCCAGTCCACCCAGCTGTGGTTGTTCCATGGTCAGCCGTCGGCATTCCACCCAGCTGTGGTTCCATGGTCACCCGTCAGGGCGCCCCCAGTCCACCCAGCTGTTGTTTCATGGTCAGGTGCCCCAGTCCACCCAGCTGTGGTTGTTTTATGGTCAGGGCGCCCCAGTCCACCCAGCTGTGGTTTCCCTGGTCAGGGCGCCCCAATCCACCCAGCTGTGGTTCCATGGTCAGCCGTCAGGGCGCCCCCAGTCCACCCAACTGTTCTTCCATGGTCCGCCGTCATGGAGCCCCAGTCCACCCAGCTGTTGTTCCATGGTCAGGAGGCCCGCAGTCCACCCAGCTGTTGGTTCATGATCAGGGCCCCCAGTCCTCCCAGCTGTGGTTTTTCCATGGTCAGTGCCCCAGTCCACCCAGCTGTGATTGTTCCATGGTCACGCGTCGGCAGTCCACCCAGCTGTGGTTCCATGGTCACCCGTCAGGGCGCCCCCAGTCCACCCAGCTGTTGTTTCATGGTCAGGGCGCCCCAGTCCACCCAGCTGTGGTTGTTCCTGGTCAGGGCGCCCCAATCCACCCAGCTGTGGTTCCATGGTCAGCCGTCAGGGCGCCCCCAGTCCACCCAACTGTTCTTCCATGGTCCGCCATGGAGCCCCCAGTCCACCCAGCTGTTGTTCCATGGTCAGGAGGCCCGCAGTCCACCCAGCTGTTGGTTCATGATCAGGGCGCCCCCAGTCCCAGCTGTGGTTTTTCCATGGTCAGGGTGCCCCAGTCCACCCAGCTGTGATTGTTCCATGGTCAGCCGTCGGCAGTCCACCCACTGGTTCCATGGTCACCCGTCAGGCGCCCCAGTCCACCAGCTGTTGTTTCATGGTCAGGGTGCCCCAGCCCAGCTGTGGTTGTTTTATGGTCAGGGCGCCCCCAGTCCACCCAGCTGTGGTTGTTCCCGGTCAGGGCGCCCCAATCCACCCAGCTGTGGTTCCATGGTCAGCCGTCAGGGCGCCCCCAGTCCACCCAACTGTTCTTCCATGGTCCGCCGTCATGGAGCCCCCAGTCCACCCAGCTGTTGTTCCATGGTCAGGGCGCCCGCAGTCCACCCAGCTGTTGGTTCATGATCAGGGCGCCCCCAGTCCTCCCAGCTGTGGTTGTTCCATGGTAAGGGCGCCCCCAGTCCACCCAGCTGTTGTTGTTGCATGGTCAACCATCAGGGTGCCCCCAGTCCACCCAGCTGTAGTTGTTCCATGGTCAGGTTGCCCCCAGTCCACCCAGCTGTGGTTATTGCATGGTCAGCCGTCAGGTCGCCTTCAGTCCACCCAACTGTTGTTCCATGGTCAGGCACTTCATGTCCACCCAGCTGTGGTTGTTTCAAGGTCAGGCGCCCCCAGTATACCCAGCTATGGTAGTTCCATGGTCAGGGCGCCCCAGTCCACCCTGCTGTGGTTGTTCCATGGTCAGCCGTCAGGGCGCCCCCATCCCCCCAACTGTTGTTCCCATGGTCAGCGCCCCCTGTCCACCCAGCTGTTGTTGTTCCATGGTCGAAGTGCGCCCAGTCCCCCCAGCTGTTGTTCCATGATCAGGCGCCCCAGTCCACCCAGCTGTGGTTGTTCCATGGTCAGCTGAGGCGCCCCTAGTACACCCAGCTGTTGTTCAATGGTCAGCCATCAGGGCGCTCCCAGTCCACCCAGATGTTGTTGTTCCATGGTCAGCCTTCAGGGGGCCCACAGTCCACTCATCTGTGGTTGTTCCATGGTCAGGGCGCCCCCAGTCCACCCAGCTGTGGTTGTTCCATTGTCCGGGCGCCCCTAGTCCACCCAGCTGTGATTGTTCCATAGACAGGGCGCCCCTAGTCCACCCAGCTGTGGTTGGTCCATGGTCAGTGCGCCCCCAGTCTACCCAGCTGTGGGTGTTCCATGGTCAGGGCGGCCTCAGTCCACCCAGCTTTTGTTCCATGGTCAGCTGTCAGGGCGCCCCCAGTCCACCCAGCTGTTGTTCCATGGTTAGGCACCTCAGTCCACCCAGCTGTGGTTGTTCCATGGTCAGGGCGCCCCAGTCCATCTCAGCTGTTGCCATGGTCAGCCGTCAGGGCGCCCCAGTCCACCCAGCTGTTGTTCCATGGTCAGGCGCCCCCAATCCACCCAGCTGTTGGTCTATGATCAGGGCGCCCCAGTCCACCCAGCTGTGGTTGTTCCTTGGTCAGGGCCCCTCAGTCCACAGCTGTTTTTGTTCCCTGGTCAGCCGTCAAGGCGCCCCCAGTCCACACAGCTGTGGTTGTTCCATGGTCAGGGCGCCGCCAGTTCACCCAGCAGTGGTTGTTCCATGATCAGCCGTCAGGGCGCCCCCTTCCACCCAGCTGTTGTTCCATGGTCAGAACACCCCCTGTCCACCCAGCTGTGGTTGTTCCATGGTCAGGGCGCCCCCACTACAGGCAGGTGTGGTTGTTCCATGGTCAGGTGGCCCCCAGTCCACCCAGCAGTGGTTGTTCCATTGTCAGCCGTCAGGGTGCCCCCAGTCCCCATAGCTATTGTTCCAGGGTCAGGGCACCCTCAGTCCACCCAGCTGTTGCTGTTCCATGGTCAGGGCGCCCCCAGTACACCCAGCTGTGGTTGTTCCATTATCAGGGCGCCCCTAGTCCACCCAGCTGTGGTTGTTCCATGGTCAGACGTCAGGGCGCCCCCAGTCCACCCAGCTGTTATTCCATGGTCAGGACACCCCCTGTCCACCCAGTTGTGGTTGTTCCATGGTCAGGGCGCCCTAGCACACCCAGCTGTGGTTGTTTCATGATCAGGGCGCCCCCAGTCCACCCAGCTGTTGTTCCATGGTCAGCCGTCAGGCCGCCCCTAGGCCACCCAGCTGTTGTTCCATGGTCAGGGCGCCTCCAGATCGCCCAGCTGTTGTTGTTCCATGGTCAGGTGCCCCCAGTCCACCCAGATGTGGTTGTTCCATGGTCAGCCGTCAAGGCGCCCCCAGTCCACCAGCAGTGGTAGTTCCATTTTCAGCCATCAGGGCGCCACCAGTCCACCCAGCTGTGGTTGTTCCATGGTCAGCCGTCAGGACGCCCCAGTCCACCCAGCTGTTGTTTCATGGTCAGACATCAGGTTGCCCCAGTCCACCCAGCTGTTGTTCAATGGTTAGCCATCAGGGCCCCCTAGTCTACCAGCTGTGGTTTCTATGGACAGGGCGCCCCAGTCCCGCCAGATGTTGCTGTTCCATGGTCAGCCGTCAGGGCGCCACCGGTTCACCCAGCTGTGGTTGTTCCATAGTCGGGCGCCCCAGTCCACCCAGCTGTGGTTGTTCCCTTAGTTGTGCCCTCAGTCCACCCAGCTGTGGTTGTTCCATGTTCAGGGCGCCCCCAGTACCCAGCTGTGGTTGTTCCATGATCAGGGCGCCCCAGTCCACCCAGCGTTGGTTGTTCCATGATCAGGGCGCCCCCAGTCCTCCCAGCTGTTATTCAATGGTCAGCCATCTGGGCGCCTCCAGTCTACCCAGCTGTGGTTGTTCTATGGTCAGGCGCCCCCCAGTCCACCCAGATGTTGTTGTTCCATGGTCAGCCGTCAGGCGCCTCCAGTCCACCCAGCTGTGGTTGTTCCGTGGTCAGTGCCCCCAGTCCACCCAGCTGTGGTTGTTCCTTGTTCAGGGCGCCCCAGTACACCCAGCTGTGGTTGTTCCATGATATCTGCGCCCCCATTCCACCCAGCTGTTGTTCCATGGTCATGGCGCCCCCAATCCACCCAGCTGTGGTTGTTCCTTGGTCAGGGCGCCCCAGTCCACCCAGCTGTTGTTGTTCTGGTCAGCCGTCAGGGTGCACCCAGTCCACCCAGCTGTGGTTGGTCCATGGCCAGGCGCCGCCAGTCCACCCAACTGTGGTTGTTCCATGGTCAGCCGTCAGGGCGCCCCCAGTCCACCCAGCTGTTGTTCCATGGTCAGGACACCCCCTGTCCACCCAGCTGTGGTTGTTCCATGGTCAGGGCGCCCACAGTACACCCAGGTGTTGTTGTTCCATGGTCAGGTTGCCCCCAGTCAACCCATCTGTGGTTGTTCCATTGTCAGCCGTCAGGCGCCCCAGTCCCCCCAGCTGTTGTTCCATGGTCAGTGCGCCCTCAGTCCACCCAGCTGTGGTTGTTTCATGATCAGGGCGCCCCCAGTCCACGCAGCTGTTGTTCCATGTTCAGCCGTCAGGGCGCCCCCAGTACACCCAGCTGTGGTTCTTCCATGGTCAGCCGTCAGGGCGCAGTCCACAGCTGTTGTTCCATGGTCAGGACACCCACTGTCCACAGCTGTGGTTGTTCCATGGTCAGGACACCCCCTGTCCACCCAGCTGTGGTTGTTCCATGGTCAGGGCGCCCACAGTACACCCAGGTGTTGTTGTTCCATGGTCAGGTTCCCCAGTCAACCCATCTGTGGTTGTTCCATTGTCAGCCGTCAGGGCGCCCCCAGTCCCCCAGCTGTTGTTCCATGGTCAGTGCGCCCTCTGTCCACCCAGCTGTGGTTGTTTCATGATCAGGGCGCCCCAGTCCACGCAGCTGTTGTTCCATGTTCAGCCGTCAGGGGCGCCCCACCCAGCTTCTGTTGTTCCATGGTCAGGGCGCCCCTTCCGCCCAGCTGTTGTTGTTCCATGGTCAGGGCGCCCTAGATCACCCAGCTGTGGTTGTTCTATGGTCAGCCGTCAGGGCGCCCCCATTCCACCCTGCTGTGGTAGTTCCATTTACAGCCATCAGGGCGCCCCAGTCCACCAGCTCTTGTTCCATGGTCAGACGTCAGGGTGCCCCAGTCCACCCAGCTGTTGTTCAATGGTCAGCCATCAGGGCCCCCTAGTCTACCCAGCTGTGGTTGTTCTATGGTCAGGGCCCCCCAGTCCCGCCAGATGTTGCTGTTCCATGGTCAGCCTTCAGGGTGCCCCCAGTCCCACAGCTGTGGTTGTTCCATGGTCGGGGCGCCCCCAGTCCCCACCTATGGTTGTTCCATGGTCAGTGCGCCCCAGTCCACCCAGCTGTGGTTGTTCCATGTTCAGGCGCCCCCAGTCTACCCAGCAGTGGTTGTTCCATGATCAGGGCGCCACCCAGTCCACCCAGCTTTGGTTGTTCCATGATCAGGGGCGCCCCAGTTCACCCAGCTGTTGTTCAATGGTCAGCCATCTGGGTTGCCCCAGTCTACCCAGCTGTGGTTGTTCTATGGTCAGGGCGCCCCCCTCCACCCAGATGTTGTTGTTCCATGGTCAGCCGTCAGGGCGCCCCCATTCCACCCAGCTGTGGTAGTTCCATTTTCAGCCATCAGGGCGCCACCAGTCCACCCAGCTGTGGTTGTTCCATGGTCAGCCGTCAGGGCGCCCCAGTCCACCCAGCTGTTGTTCCATTGTCAGACGTCAGGGTGCCCCCAGTCCACCCAGCTGTTGTTCAATGGTCAGCCATTAGGGCGCCCCCAGTCTACCCAGCTGTGGTTGTTCTATGGTCAGGGCGCCCCCAGTCCAGCCTAATGTTGTTGTTCCATGGTCAGCCGTCAGGGCGTCCCCAGTCTACCCAGCTGTGGTTGTTCCATGGTCAGGGCGCCACCAGTCCACCCAGCTGTGGTTGTTCCATGGTCAGTGCGCCCCCAGTCCACCCAGCTGTAGTTGTTCCATGTACAGGGCGCCCCCAGTACACCCAGCTGTGGTTGTTCCATGATAAGGGCGCCCCCAGTCCACCCAGCTTTGGTTGTTCCATGATCAGGGCGCCCCCAGTCCACCCAGATGTTGTTCAATTGTCAGCCATCTGGGCGCCCCCAGTCTACCCAGCTGTGGTTGTTCTAAGGGCGCCCCAGTCCAGTTGTTGTTCCATGGGTTAATCACCAAGCTGTGGTTTGTTCCGAGTCAGGGCGCCCTAGTCCACCCAGCAGTTGTTCCATGGTCAGACGTCAGGGCGCCCCCAGTCCACCAGCTGTTGTTCAATGGTCAGCCATCAGGGCGCCCCCAGTCCACCCAGCTGTTGTTCCATGGTCAGCAATCAGGGCGCTCCCAGTCCACCCAGCTGTGTTTGTTCAAGGTCAGGGCGCCCCAAGGTCCACCCAGCTGTGGTTGTTCCATGGTCAGGGCGCCCCAGTCCACCCAGCTGTTGTTGTTCCATGGTCAGCCTTCAGGGCGCCCCCAGTCCACCCAGCTGTGGTTTTTCCATGGTCAGGGCGCCCCAGTCCTCCCAGCTGTGGTTGTTCATGGCAAGGGCGCCACCAGTCCACCCAGCTGTGATGGTTCCATGGTCCGGGTGCCCCCAGTCCACCCAGCTGTGGTTGTTCCATGGTCAGGGCGCCCCAGTCCATCCAGCTGTTGTTGTTCTATGGTAAGCCGTCAGGGCGGCCCCAGTCCAACCAGCTCTGATTTTCCATGGTCAGTGCGCCCCAGTCCACCCAGCTGTGGTTGTTCCATGGTCAGCCATCAGGCCGACCCCAGTCCCAGTGTGGTTGTCCATGGTCGGGTGCCCCCAGTCCACCCAGCTGTGGTTGTTCCATGGTCAGGGCGCCCCCAGTCCACCCAGCTGTGGTTGTTCCATGTTCAGCCGTCAGGCGCCCCCAGTCCCCCCAGCTGTTGTTCCATGGTGGGCGCCCCGTCACCCAGCTGTTGTTGTTAGGCCACAGGCCCCATCCACCAGCTGTTGTTCCATGGTCAGGCGCCATCCCCAGCTGTTGTTGTTCATGGTCAGGGCGCACCCTGTCCACCCAGCTGTGGTTGTTTCATTGTCAGGGCGCCCCCAGTCCACCCAGCTTGTTCCATGGTCAGCCGTCAGGGCGCCCCCAGTCCACCCAGCTGTGGTGTTCCATGGTCAGCCGTCAGGGCGCCCCCAGTCTACCCAGCTGTTGTTGTTCCATTGTCAGGGCGCCCGCCTCCACCCAGCTGTTGTTGTTCCATGGTCAGTGCGCCCCCAGTCCACCCAGCTGTGGTTGTTCTTTGGTCAGCCGTCAGGGCGCCACCAGTCCACCCAGCTGTGGTTGTTCCATGGTCAGCCGTCAGGGCGCCACCAGTCCACCCAGCTGTGGTTGTTCCATGGTCAGGGCGCCCCCAGTCTCTTTGTGTACCAAGAACTTCCTGTACAGTGTGGTATGTCCTCTAACCTAACCTAACCTAACCTTGTCATCAAGCGGGTTTAATACATCAATATATCTTTATTTTCATGTTTGAAGTAACTTACGCTGCCCAGCTGTATACACGACGTGTGTTGACTACAAGACTCTGCCATTGTGTGTGTGTGTGTGAGCTGGCGGCCTGGAGGGAAATATATATTCTGAACTATGCTGGACACAGTGGGACAATGTGACATACATGCATACATACATACATACATACATACATACATACATACATACATACATACATACATACAAAGAAAACGGAAGCAATAAATATAAAAACAGAGAGACAGAGTTTATTCGTTCATGGAACAACAGGTCCCCGGATTTTCCTCCAAAATATACTGTACATATAAATATTCTGTACTATGTATACAAATTATACATACACGCATACAAATGTTCTCTGAAAAATGGCATATATGTATGTTCAAAAGTATGTCTGCATAATGCCATACAACTACTGGAGTCAAATGTGGTAGTGTGGTAGTAGGGTCATGTGGTAGTGTGGTGGTAGGGTCATGTGGTAGTGTGGTGGAGGTGTGTGGTATTATGGTGATGTGTGGTGGTGGGATATTGTGGTAGTAGGATGGTGGTGTGGTGGTAAGGTTGTGTGGTAATATGGTGATGTGGTGGAGGATGGTGGTGTGGTGGTAGGGTAATGTGGTAGTGTGGTTGAAATGGTGATGGTATGGTTAGTGTGGTGGTGTGGTAGTGATGTGGCATTAAGGTGGAGGTGATGTTGTGGTGTTGTTGTAGTTTGATGGTGTTTTGATGCTGATGACACACACACACACACACACCCAGGTATATTATAATATACTCATGCATCATATTGTAGAGAGTACCACAGCTTAAACCTCTGTAGAGTCACAATGTACTCAGTTGGTCAAAT